AAATGAACTCTAGCCATTCTCAGTGACAACAACATCCTGGTCTCCTTTGATAATGAACACATCCAAGTTCATGTCAGGACAACCATTATAGCAAGTTTCTGCAGAAGAACCAATAGCCCCAGGAGAAGCTATTCCTCCCTAATGACACCTCTTCTAATTCTCCAGTTCTCCTTTTTTTTTGTTGACAACACTCTTCATGTAGGCCTGCCACATCCAGTACCACACTGATTTAGTTCAGCTGTTGATTACAAGTTGACTACCAGTTGTTACTCTACCATATTCTTCAACAACAAAATGTATGAATGCTCTCATTCAAGAGGTTAAAAAAGATTATTCAGAACCTTCTGTCATCTCGCAGCAGTGTAGGGGTCTGTTTTTCTCTTGGTAGTCCCTGAGAGAAAAGGGTTAGGATTTAAAAAATAAAGACAAGAGCTAACAGCTGACATAGTGGGATAGGGCTGTGCCTCATAGGCAAAGGACCCTAGAACAATAGTATGGACATTTATTTATACCTTTGCAGAGTTATAAGACACAAGGTTGCCTAGCAACTAATAGCCAACAGTGTCCAGGCAGGATGTTTTTTTTTTTCAAAAACTGAGGTAACTTGACTGCTTTAAAACATGAGGGCTCATTCTAACCTCCCACACAGGATCAATTTCCAGTCATTGACTCCAAAATCACCAAGTTATATTTTACAACTACATTGTGTGTCAGAGTCACCAACCAAAATTTGTTACGTTTATTTTTTTGTTTTTTGTTTTTTGTTTTTTATTTCAGAGAAGGGACTGCAGGGTATTCAGGGTATCACTACTAGATCAGACTAGTAGTGATCTACCTGTTTTCAGCCTCCCAAGAACTGGTATTATAGGTGTGCACTACCATTCCCAGTCTCAATTGCCTTCTCAGCGGGATCCAGGGGCAGGGCCGGCACAGCAGGCCTGGGGATAGAACCCTGGCCGCTGCACCTGCTTGCAGGCACTTTAATTCACTGAGCTATTTGGCCAGCCCTAAAATTTGTTACTTTTAAAACATTTTTCCTGTGCAAAATAGATGAGATTGTAGACCAGCATTATATAAATTTATTCCTCTTATTACAATGTTTTGTTGCTGAGAATCAGTTTCAAAATTAGTCTTCATTCACTGTAGGCTATCCACACTTCCTTTCTGGTGTCTTTTAGAGTATTTGTTTTGCATTAACATTCTTTAATTTATCTTGCTATAATATGTCTTTGTATGGATCCACCTCTCATTCATGGTGCTTTCTCAATTTGAGGTTTTGAAGGAAGCAACTAATAGCCTCAGAAAATTAAACACTTCTATTAAACAAATAGTAAAGAAACACATGATTCCTAAACTAAAATAATTGTTAAATTTATCAAAAAATCGAAATCCACACCATCAGCTGAGTTCCATCAAGTAAATACACAGGTGATATAGAGGTCTAAAGGCACAACACTGTCATGTTGGGTACTCTGGAAGCCTCCAGATGACAACGTTGGCTGAGACTTAATGATTGAATGAGAGGAAATAACAGCAAAAAAGGTTTCAATGTTATTCCATGAAAAAAAGGGAATTAAAAATGACATGAAATATGACAAAGCAAGATGTGTTGTGCATTTTTTAAAGAATTTTCTGTAAGGAATATAAAACTTAGGAAGCAAAAAGATATACATAATTTAAGCAGACCTGCTAAGGTCTTGTAAGGAATAAGGAGTGTTCCTTGTTATTTTTCTTTAAGCAAACTGGGAGAAATCTTGAAGGATTTCAGCAAGATTGATCCATAGCTTATAGACAGAAAACTGACTATTCTAATAACTAATGAAGGAAAAACTCAGACCATATTTAAGTAGTCAGAGAAAATAAATGCTTTGATCCTGCACTGTAGCACATGTGGACTTCCAACATGTGACTATGATAGGACTACTGAGAACATGGTCCAACACCATAGAAGACACAACACAAGTGAGAGTTAATTAATGAAGAGTCAAAAGGACAAGAACCATGGTTAAGGGAAGAGTCAGGGTCTTCTAGAAATACAGTGAGGATAGACTCCAGGAAACATTAAATAGAAAGAGGAGTCAGGGACTTTGATGTGGCATAGCCCACACTCGAAACACTGCAAGATCTGCGCCTATCTCCACATTTTCTTCCCCCACATCTACCATTAATGGTATTCATCATCCGTTAGGGGGAACTTCTTAGGAATGTGCAATGAAGCATGTCTACATCACTTTTCTACAGTAAAATAACTATTAAATTTGTGACTCTTTGCTACACACACAGTTTTGCCTTGTGACCACATTTTGATATGAATCATGTACAGAAGCCTGTTTCATTTTTGCCACTTTCTGTGTACATGTATAACAAAATATTATATACAATTTATTTTATAAATTCACCTATCATTTGAAACATGATAAATATGTTCAAGAAAACTATACTTGTGCAAGGTTTATGTCCTATCACTGACTATCATTTTATAATGGTAAAGTCAAAACTATACCAAGAGTTGAAATTAAATGCAAGCAAGCATGAAGAATATGACAGAATTAAACTTGCTGACAGGATGGCAGAAAAGTTCAAACATGATGCAAGACTGATAACAATGTTTATAGAGATACTAGATAGCAGATGTAGCAAACACTGTTCATGTTCATGTTCATGTTTCATGTTTCATATTCTTAAGATGAATAGAGAGGTTCCTTGATGACTTGTATGTAAGGCTGCTGGATGCAAAATTTCTAATATTGAAACTTCTTCCATCTGTTTAGTTTAGTATGAGAAGACATTAAGTATAGCTGAGTTCTACCTTGTTTTGATCCATAAAATATTACAGAAAATCAACTACAGTTTCTCTGCCAGTCAAAATAAAAATTTAAGAGTTTAAGGGAAAGTAAACCATCTGACGTTGGCTAGAGAGAAAGACCAAATTAGCATCACTTCCTTCAGTAACTTTGGACCATTTTTATGCCCAAAGGTCCTAATATTTTACTTCCTCACACTCATGATATGATGTTTTATTTCACTTTTAAATTATTTTTAAATTTTTAGAGTTATTTATTTATTTACTGTTAACTTTATACAGGATCTTGGTAGCTCAGACTCATAGTGATCCTACTTTCTGAGCCTTCGCAGCATGGGGAATGCAGGCCTGCTCCACCACGCTTGGTTTCAGTGACCAGCACAGAGTGAATTCGGAAGATCAAAGCCAGGTCCTTGTACTTGTCAGGCAGGTGCTTAGACGGTCGATCTAGCTCCCCAGCCTGAACTAATATTTTAAACACCTAAGAATATAGAAACATTTATGAGAGTTGGTTTGAGTATTGCCCCTTTGATAAATATTCTGAACCCCATAAATTAAAACTCAAAGAAAATAAAAATCAAATATCACTTCTCCATCACTTTCACTCATGTTTTCCTCTCAATATGCCATCACCCTAAATTGAGTAAATCTATTAGGAAATCTAAGTGCTAATTCCTCTTTCTTTTTGATGAGGGCATCTGGATGAAATGTGCACTAATTTGGGGAAGCCTTAAAACAAGAAGTGTAGAAGGAGTTTTCTGTTTTACTTCCAAGATGAAGAAATTCATCTTTGATTCTAAAGTGCAATAAAGGAAAATATTAAGAGTAGGGGTCTTGAAATGAAGGTTTAGGAAACAAGAGGATCCTGAATAAAGTTTTCCAGAGAAGTTATCTTACATGAAATCAGGCAAAAGATAATGAAAATAACAAAGATAGAGAGAGAAACCCAGGCCATGGTTGAATGAACTTATCCTCTCCACGGCTCCTATTAGACCTTAACATCTTCAGCAGATCTGTAGAGAAGTGGGACCACCTGGGGCATGATTAGATCATGAAGACTATACCTTCACTAATGAATTAATGACATAATATAAAATGCCTTGTGAGTGTGAATTTTCTCCTTTTTGCTCCTTCCAATGTGAGGATGGAGCGAGAAGTTCCCACGGAATTCCCAGCCCCTCATTTGCAAAATACAGAGGCACACACAGCAAGCACTGTGATATAACTCCTTTCACTGCCATCCAAGACTTCCTATGCATGAGCTTTCCCAGACTACATGTCTGATTATCTACCAGGATGAAGTGGTATGGCTCTTCATTTCATCTTAGCTTTCAGTATGATTGTACAGATAATAAACTGTTTACTCATCTCTTGGGAGTCAAGAACATCACTCTTTTTTGACATTCCTTTGCTTCATATACTACAGTCTACATAAAATGGATTATGGAGCACTGTGCTTTATTGTTTATCTGCTTGCTAGCATATAAGACTTTCTGTGCTTCAGAAAGCATCTACTGTCCAGAGACAAGAAGAACCTGAAGAAGTTACATGAGATTCATGTCCCCATCGGGAGTTTAGTACTATTCCAGATTTTGCAAGGTTATCATGCTATGTTTTGATTCTCCATAATAGTACGAGAGATTGAGGAATCATGAACTTAATTATTGAAATAATTCAATCTACTAGGAATTAAGAGGGAGAGCAACAAGTTCTACATAGAGCTACATGTTTATAATGACTCTATGCTTTGGCAAGCCCATGATAGTGCACTTTTATGAAGAATGTGAATGCATCACATGATATTTAACAAGGAAGGATTTCCTAGCAGACCCTCCCCTATCTATGAAATGCATTCTGGCAATGTCAACAATAAAAAAGCATTCTGCCACTGCAAAGATGTGAGCAAGACTGAAGGAAGAGGTAGCTGGAAAGTGCCTCCTCCTTTTAGTATTAAAGTTTCATGGTTACAAATTTCTTGTAGGAGCCTAATGATCTGCGAGAAAGGTTGTTGTATGCCAGACTTCTTACATCTGTTGAGGTTAGTATGAAAAAAATTAGGCATAGCTATCTGTACCTTGTGCTGATCACTGAGATGTTACAACAAGTCAACTTTAGTTTCTGTGCTAGAGGAAACTGAAAGTTAAGAGCTTGGATGGGAGGAACCTCACACTCTGTCTCTGGGCTTCTGGAGTGAGACACAGAGCATTCCTGAAATTATTAGATGACTTGGACAAGTATTGCTTTGCTTGTTTATGCTTAGATATACTTGATTTTCTTTGCATTTCAGAAGATTACATCTTCCTGTTCAATTTCCAAGACCTTTACTGATTTACCTTCCTCTCGAAACATACCAAGATTGAATTTCTGCATTGTTAAAAATCTGAAGATTCAGGCTTCTTCTAAAAAAGATTTCTTTGAAGGTAGGTCTTGTTAGCTGTTTGGTAAAGATTTTGCAGATTTCTTAAAGACAGTGACAGCATAATCAAAGGAAATTGTGATTGGTTCTTTGGGGTTCTGGGTAATGGAGTAGAGTCAATATCAGCTCCATTTAGATTCCCTGAAATAAGGTGATTCTGATCCTTCTTTAGGAAAGTAATAGACATGTTTTTTCCTCCATAATTGAGTCCTATGCAATAAGACATTTGAAGATTATGAAGAAAATGATGTGTATGAATTGGCTAAAATTGATATTTGGAAGAAATATATGTTTTCCTCTCTGGAGAATTTATAGATGTTATAATGGAGTAAAACCAAATAGAATATTCCAATCATTAGAAAAATTCATCCTAAAAGCGACTATATTTCTTAAGAGTTGAACTTCTTTGCATTTTGTGGTATATGATAATACTTTATATCATATCTAAATAAATTTTATTTTAAGGCAACATTAACATTATGAAGTGAACTTTTATTTAGTCACTTTTTGCAAATAAGTTGTTTTTTATTTTCTCCATTTAAGTAAACTTTTGTTATATAGGTACGGGCAGGTATCTTAACTTGATTATTTTTAAAATACTTAGCTAGATCCTTTGTGTAGATGCCATAATTATACACTTTGCCTTGATTTTTCTATCTTCCCTTGTAGTAATGTGAATTCTTCTTTTTCTTCATTTTATTTTAGGCTAAACTTATACTTGTGTATTACACTTTAAGAAAAAGTCATTAGTGAACTGACCTAATATTATTTCCCTATATGTGCCACCATATTGATATGTCCTATTGTTTTTCTTTCATTAGATCCTGTTTTTAAGATATTATCACTCATAGTCAAGTGTGTTTCCATTTGACTTATGTTTGGTCCACAAGATTCACAGATTTCTCATTCTTTTCCTGTGGAATGTTAATTGCAATCAATCTTTTCTTTAAAAAACTACGAAGGCCTTTATTTAAAAGAATTGATTTTTATGCCTTTCTGCTTAAATGTCACATTTACACACTTTGAAATTTCTGATTCAACTTTTTTAGTCAAAGAGGATGAGAGAAACTCTTCTAAACATGTATTATTAGATATATTTTGATACTAAAAACCTCAATGTTGCAGAAGTCTACCTAATATGTGTTCTAAGTATTGTACACTTGTGATACCAATCAGATCTGGATCACTATGACACCATCAACATTTACCATACTTCAAAAACAAAAATATGAATATTTTGATTTAACTGAGATGGACCTACATGATACGTAGCTTTCTATCATCTCACATCTGGTTAAATTTCACACTTACATTATGTGATCACAGTAAACAATCAAGCATTTATATTTTTGAAACATTTTGGTTTTGCAATAGATACTGGATTTTGGTCCAGTATTATGTAACAATTATTCATCTTGCAACTACCTGTTTCATAGTTTCAGTGTTAGTTTTGTATCGCTGGTGATTCAAACTTCATTGATAGTGGCTTACAGACTAATAGTTTTGCATGTAATAATCTTGAATTTCACTCACTATACTGCGTCTTTGTGTGTAATTTCTTTTCCTTCAGTGGATTTTTCAAGCTGAGGATCAGCTTGTTTTGTTAAGAAGGAATCATTTCTTTACAAGCGGTGCAGTAAATAAAAGTGTATAAGGACATTTTGCCAAAAAGAAAGCAGCAGTAAACACCCTCAGAAATTTGAATATTTCAATTGAACAAAAAAATATATACAAACACGTGATTCCTAAACTAAAAGCATTTGTAAATTTATACAACAATTGGAATCTACATCATGTACTGCCTGTCATTTAAAAAAATTCAGTGACACAATACTTGGTCCATTTGTGTACTGTGGAAGCTTCCAGAAGACTAACCCTCAGTCAAGTCGTATTGGTTGAATAGGAGGAAATAAAGAAAGTAATGTTACAGTGTTTCTCCAGGAAAAAAAAGGCAAATTGAAATTACATAAAATATGAAAAAGACATGTGTTTTCCATATTTCTAAAGAATCATATATAATTAGTACAAAAATTAGATAGTAAAAAGATATAAATAATTTAAGCAGATTTGGTGAGCTAAGGAGAGTTTTTTATTGCTTTCCTTTTGCAGAAAATTCGAGAATTGTTGAAGGATATCAGCAAGATTGATTTCATGACTTTCATACAGAAAATTACCATTTATTTACAAAGTATTATAATGAAACAAATCAAATAACAGTTCATGTAATTCCAATCAATAGATGTTGTGATCCTGCACTGGATCCCATGGAACTTCCCACTTGTGACAATGATAGGGGAACAGAGGACATGGTCCAACACCACAGGAGACAGAATACATATAAGAGTTAAATTCCATTAATTTGTGATTGAGATGAGTAAATAAATAAATATTTCTGAGAAAAGAAAGAGTTAATTAACAGTCATGAGGACAAGAGACATAGTTATGGTAATTGTCAGAAGGGCAACTGATATATGTCAAGGATAGCCTTGACATATAGAAAGAGGTGCCAGGGATTTTGACACTGCATAGTCAGTACTCTAAGCACTTAAAGAACTGCTTATCTGCAGACTTTCTTTCTGCAGGTCACTCCTGACACAATTGAACATCAGTCAAGAGAAACTTCTTGGGATTGTGTAGTGGAGCACTGCTTCCTCCATTTTCTATAATGAAGCAACTGGTAACTTAGGCACATTTGTTTCACACACACTTGTGACTCTTGGCCACATTATAATAGGAATCATGTTCACAGGTCTACCTCATTCATGAAATTGCCTGTACACAGGTCTCATGAAGCACTGTACATAAATTTTCTATTGCAGGTTCACCTATCATTTCAACTATGGCTGCTATGTTCAAGAAAATTGATCTTCTGCAAGGCTTATATCCTATCAGTGATGAAAATTTTGAAATTATAAAGTGCTTATTGCGAAAAGAGTTAACACTGCAATGAAACTCATATGAAAAGTACAACAGACTTCAATTTGCTGACCTGATGGCAAAAAAGTTCAAAACTGATACAGGACTTGGAAAACTGGTAGAAATATTCAAAGAGATACAAGAGCTAGAAGACCGTGCTGCACTTCTCAGAAAAGAGATGTCAAAAGGTAACAGTGTGAGGGCCAGGTGGATAACTCAGCTGACTAAGCATTTGTGAAGACAGAGTGCAGTGATTGGGGTTTGATCCCCTATGTGCTGTGCCCACTCTGCCTCTGGGTCATGCTGAGAAACCCATTGGGACTGGGTGTGTTGGCACACACCTGTAATCCCAGCACTTGGGAGGATGAAAACAGGAGAATCACTGAGTCCAATCTATGTACTGAGACCCTGTAGAACCTGCATTAAATAGATTAAAGAAAAAAAACAGGTAATAGTGTGCATACTACCTCCCATAGACTAGAATCCCACCTGGGTCATGGCATCACTTGCCCTGCATATCCCTCAGTATCTAAAGCAATTGCATGACTCAGGTGCCAACAAGTTGACAACCCAGGCAACAGCTCTTTCGTACAAAGTTCTAACATATTTAAGGAAGAGGATTTGGAGGAAGACAGAAAAGACATGAAAAAGCAGATTGAATTCTCAATGCTTCTAAGGTTTTTGATGCATTGGAAAAACTAGAATAGTTAAGATTAAATGTGGAAAATTTATGCATTTTTAAGTGGATTAATTTTAATTCAAATTTCCAAAAGCATTCTATGGAGGACTACTTATTCTTGACATCATGAAAACTTTTGCTTCTTAAAAGGAGAATACAGGATATAAGACTGAGGTTCACAAAATCCACAGGGAGGGAATGCTGTTCTAATTGTCTCTGGTAAAGGAAAGAAATGTTGAGGCTGTGCTTGTGCCTAGGATACCATTGATGGCTGTCTATAATGTGGCAAAGAATTAGAAGTAGAGGAGCTGACATAGATACACAGACAGAAAGAGATAAAAATATTATTGAAACCACTGTGATCTTCCCCTCACTTTATTGTATTTTCTTTTATACCATTAGTTCAAAGGAAATGCAGAGAAAGAGCCAAAACCACAGGCAACAAAAGTCAGCAGGATGAAGCCAGCAGTGTTCAATGTGCACTCAGCACAGATGAAGATTCACAACCAGAATCCAAGATGGATGTGCCCATGATGAAGGTAGGCTGGCTGTGCTCCTGTGGCCAAGGCCTCCCCCATGGATCTCTCACATTTGATCTTTCAGTGAACGCTCAATTATTTGTTTAGTGAAAATGAGGTTCAGTGTCAGAAACTTTGCAGTTTTGTTTGCTCATTGTGTTTCACAATCACAGTACTTTTTACCTTGGATGGTATAATTCCCTCTGCTAGAAATATAAAGTCATTTTGCCTGTTTAGTTTTGCAGTGAAATATCAGTCACTTTAGGAAAATGGCTCAATAAAGCCAATATTTGCATTCAGTCATTATTATTATTATTATTATTATTATTATTATTATTATTAATTCAATATAGAGTCTACCTATGTAGGTCAGACTCATAGTGATCCACTTGTCTCAGTCTCACCAGCATTGGGATTATAGGCATATACCACCATGCCTGATTTTGGGACTGGCATAGTGGGTAGGATTTCCAGGGTCAGCATGTCATGTGGAGCCAGTGATCAAAATCAGTTCCCTGAGCTTGTTATGAGGTACTTGTGGTTTTTAGGCCATGAGCCATCTCCCCAGCCTTGTATTCTGTCATTTTTATATTCTTCTTATTATGTATACCCAAAAAGTATCATTTTATTCCATACTGTATAATATTTCATGTATTTTTCTAGAACTCAGGCTCTTCAAATTTGCTTAAAATAACTTGAACTATCTTTGAAAATATCAAAGGGGTTAAAATTAGCTACATGTGAAAATTACGTAATTATCCCTTACCTTATAAAAACAACTCTATATTATTTGACTTATTTCCAGTATCTCTGATACCTTCAAGAAACATAATAAAAATATATGTATCTCATTCTTCTCTTATTATCCACAGATAGAGTTCTACTTTCTTCACTAAGTATTGTGCACTTTTGCCCAATGAAGCCACCTTGGTAGTCAATGGAGGCAGCTTGACTGTTTCCACTCACCGGTTCCCAGGACTCCCGTGGTTGCTTCTACACTTTCTCTCCCAGATCATGAGCCTCTTACTCAACTCAAAAATGCTCTCCTGAAACTCTGAAACAACACATCACTTTGAAAAGACAGGTGTTCAAAGCAAAGGTCCTTAGTGCCTTGCTTCCATTTCATTGATGATTTGCTATTATTCAAGTTGAGACCTTCTAGTCTGAATATGTCCAGATGAGGAAAGTTAATGAGGTTCATCCACTAGCTGCTTTACTAACGCTCGTACAAATCATCGCTGATTTGTGGAAAGGCCTTTGTGATTTGAGACTCAAATATTCCTCCTATGTGGATTCAGGTTAGAAGCAATAATCTTAGCTAACATACTTTTCATTTCTTCCATGAGGTAAGTAATAGGACAGCTGACACTGTTTTCCTTCATGCACCTAGATAAGTGGCTCTTTGTTCAACTAAATTGAGCCTGAGATGTATCTCACTAGACAGATGACATGTTACCCTTGGTTGTGTAAGGTAAACAAGTCTCAGTGTTGTTTTGTAAAATTTGTTCACAACCACAAATATTGGAGGAAATGGATAACTATGTGATCAGCTACACCCCAACTAATCTATCTCTATCGCTCTTCTTTAAGGTCACCAAAGCCAAGAAAAACAAGATGTAACTACATAATTCTTATTCAAATGTGGAGCCATTACTGGAGTCCTAAAAACATGGATATCTCTGATAATGATATTGATGGAGATAAGATGCAAATTTAAGAAGAAAATGCATAAGATACAAGTTTAGAAAGAAAATATATATGTATAACCTAACTGTGATTTTCATAGTAGTACATGCCTAAAGTCCCAGAACTTTGAGAGGCTAAACAGAAGGTTCAAAATTTTAAGCCCATGCTAGGCAATTTAGAGATGGAGCAAAATCCTGTCTCAAAATAATACTTTTTAATGCTTCATTGCAAAGACTTTGGATCAATGACCCGTACTACAACCAAAGCATATAAACAAATAGTAAACAACAAAATCTATGGACAGCAACAATAGAAGAGATAAGAAAAACAAGCAAAAAAATCTGTAAAAATAGATTTTTAAAAGTGCTTAAGGTAAAGAATTTCTTCATTGGGTCTGAAAAACTAAAGCTAAGAAAAAGGACAAAATGGGGAAAAGATACTTAGGTATATACTCAGGATATTTTGGATAATTATACTGCCAATTTGTACTGGTATTTTGAAAAAATAAATTTATGCTTAATTTTTTCCTTTTATTCTTATTTTTTCTTTTGAATTTCTTCAAAACTTTTATTATTATTTCATTTTCTTTTTTCTTTGAACCAATCTTGCAAGATTATGTTTGGTAACGTCAACAGTTAATTTGAAGATAGCACCATATTCAATTCAATTCAACAGCAATCGTTTAATTCTAATTACTTTGCTTACAGAAATTTTGTATCATTTCAAACTCTGTTTTTTCTATTACCATTTAGAATTCTTTAAAAATAAAAATGTTTTCTACATTAATGATTGTGAATTTTCTGTATTTTAGATATTCCACAATTGTCAATGCATAGCTTTGATAATTTGAAAAAGTAAACATCTAATTCTAAAGCAGTTCTTCTTAAGTCTATTTGTTCTGTATTCCATTTGGTTTTAAATAAATATTTTATGGCTAATAAATCAGAGTGAAACATCTAGGCTAAAATCAATATTATAATTTATATACTTGCTGTGATCTTTAGGATTAGGCCTGGTGAAGCATCAAGAAGTTGTGTATTATTCAGAGCAGCCAGGCTTAGAGGAACGTGGGGACTGATACCCAGTTTGAGCTCAATGTCCAGGACATGTGTCCTGGGAATGTTAATTAGGTGAGGACAGAAATATCTTTTCAGAAATTGCCTCCTGGACAGGACATGATGAATACATTGTCAGGAAAGAGAGTGCCTTTTGAAGATTTGTAGGGTCCCTTCATGACACTTCTCCTGGAGGGTCAGGAGAAATTCAGGCTCTATCTGTTGTAAATATCTGATTTCACTCTTGAACAACAAAGACTCCTCAATACTTCTTGTACTTCTAAGACTAGTTCCTACATTCCACATGTTTAGATCCATCAGGACTCAGTCCCAGGCACATCTACATTAGGACAAGACTGAAGTTATTTTCAGTAACAGAAGCAGACATGTATCATCAAAATGTACATTATATTTGCGGATCTCATACTTGTTATCTGATATTTTATAATTTTAGGAAAAAACATACTTAATTTAGTGTCATTACTTAGTCTTCACATTAGTTCTAAAACTTTGATATGTTTTTTTTTTCCTTTTTACTATATAATAGGGGAGAAAGTGCAACCGAGAGGTAAAGTTCTACTCTCAACTGTATTTAGTGGATAAATTGGAGCTTAATTTAGAATCTTGGGTATTCCAGTATGTTGTATACGTTTTAGAGGGAAGACTTGGAAGTTGAAATCAAAATTTTGAGAACAGGATAGAGAAGTTGCGAGCTCTCTGAAGATACATGAGGCAGATTTTCATGTGTGAGTTCCTCATTTTATTTTATTTGAATTTATTTTTGGCAGAACCAGGGATTGAACCTAGGTCCTCACACTTGCCAGGGAAGCATTTATTCCACTGAGCCATCTCCCTGGCCCCTGAGTTTCTCATTTTAAAGAAAAAGAAAATATGTGCAAGATAGCTCCCACAACAACAGGCAGTAGACAGCAGGACAGCACTCAGAAGAGCAGGTTCCCGTAATTCCAAGAGCCACTTTCACCCTTATTGTACTATTCTTATACAGGTTGTTACCAAACACTTACTTTCTTCTGTAGTGCTATAACGCGTGTATGCATGTTTGCCTGTGCTAGGTCATGGTTACCTACCTTCTCCCTACCACCTACCTGCACTAGGCAAGCTGTGTCACACCCTCAGGTAGGCTTTGCTTTAAAGCATTATACGTTACACACAGAAAGTCAATGCTATAATTTGACTATTATACTATTGGTATTAGTGCCCAAATTACCTAAGAAACAAAGCACTCCCATGCTACCATTACTATCTTGTGCCAAAAATGAAAATAAAATAAAAAATGTGTTGTTGCTTTCTAATTTTGTCTTTTTTCTATACTTTTTTTTAAGCTGAAAAGTAAAAATAGATGTTTTTCTGTTTTCTTGTCTGACACCACCCTAATAGCAAACATGCATTTATTTGGTTATACTTATTTATATATGCATAGCTATACATATACATAACTATATGGAAAGGTATTAATCATCATATAAATATATTACGCAATAATATTTCTAATTAAAAATTATTTTTTGTCCCTTGAATCACATTCTTAAGAAAATACATATGACTAGCCTTCCAATGGTATGGAAAAATATGGCCTGTCTATAGCAGTAGGGTCACATAACTGTAGCTGGAATGAACTAGGACCTTCATCCAAGCTTATGTCACTCTGTATCAATGAGATGAATGATGTACCTTTCTCACTTTTCCCATAGTGTAAATGAGTACACAGTCATGCATTGCAAGCGCTGCAATCTATCTCCTCTCACTGCATCTCAAGTCTCCCAGTGCATAAAATTTCCAGAATACATCTTTGACTATACACTCAGCTTCAGTTTTCTGCCTCCTGCTTTGAACTGAGCTCTCTGGGTAAAGGGACAGATCACTAATTGTTTACACATGCCTGAAATTCCAGGAATAATATGTAGTTTTTGTCATCTTTTGTGTCATCCAGTAAAATGTGCACAAAATGTATTAGGGGCACTTTTCTGGGGGACAGTAATAATGGGTGTGTTATATGTTGAAACTGTAACAGAAGCCTTAAAGCTTTAATGTAATACAGATATTTCTTCCTCTCATGAAAATCATAAGGACAGTGAAAATGTCTTTCATCATGGTCATTTCAGCCATAAACCTGATATTTGTGAAATCTTGATTAGATCTCTCTGAATGTTTTCTGAGCACTTTAATATCTCCCACTGACCCTTACAATTGATTGGCTCAACATACACAGAGAATACCAAAAAAAAAAAAAAAAAAAACACCAAAATTGCAGGCCAAATCCAGCCTACACTGCCCACTCACACAAAAGTTGTAAACACCCAGAGGTATTTGAGACTATCAATGCAGTTTTTCCATGATTGTTCTTTGATATACTTTCAGACAGTTTCAAATCCAGAATTCAGCTTACCCTTAGATAGGGTTATTGGATTAAGCTACTGAGCTATCTTCTGCTATCTTATGTGTTCATTTGTGTACACTCCCTGTTCTTGGGGACACTATTTTTAGCCAGAACAAAATACTGCTTGAAGATCAGTTAGTGAGCTACCACCACACCACCCTCCAGTTTGTTCTGTTTGCTAACATATGAGACATTTCTTACATCAGAAGCATCTACTATGCAGAAAAGACTGCATAACAGCAGCTACATGGGGTCAATGACCATTCTAGATTTGTACTGCTTCCAGATTTAAAAAGCTATCATACTATGTTGTGATTCTCAAAACTAATAAAGGAATAGGGAATAATCATGAACTTAAACTGAAATATTTCAGTCTAGTAATGAACAAGAGGGTAGCTAGAGCAACAGTTCTTTCATAGAGCTGAATATTTATGACTTTATGCTCTGGCAAGCCCTGTGATGGTGCAATATTAGGAACAGAGTAAATGAATTGTGTAATACTCATCAAGCAGGGATTTCCTAGCAGCCAGTCCCTATCCAGAAAATTCATTCTGGTAATGTTAGCAATAGTAACCTTCCTACCACTGCAGCTCTGTAACTTGAAATGAGAGATGTAAAGTGCTTCTTCCTTTTAGCATTAGAGATTCGTGGTTTCAGTATTCTTACAGGAGCCTAATGACCCATATGCAAGTTTGCTGTGTTGTATTGCAAACCTATAATATTGGAACTTATTTCATCTTTTGAGGTTAGTTGAAAATATTTAAGCATAGCTGAGTTGTACTTTTCGGCACTCATTGATGTTATGGCAAGTCAATTGCAATTTCTCAGGTTAGAGGAAATGGAAAGTTAACAGCATGGATGGGAGGAACCCCACATTTTGTCCTTGCTCTTCTGCACTGTGAGCACCCAGCACTTATGAAATTATTAGATATCTCTAACTAATCTCATACTTAATTACATTTAGAAATACTTGATTTTCTTAACATTGCAGAAGATTACAGCATCTTATCATTCAATTTTCTAGACATTTTGTAATTTTCCTGCTTTTTCAAACATAGCAACCTCTTCACTGCATGGATTGAAATCTCAATGTTCACGTCTCCTGCTCAAAATGTTTGCAAGAAGTTAAGTCTTTTTCATGGTTCTGTAAGAAATATTCATCTTTCTCAGAGACATCCACAAGATACTTGAAGGAAGTCAATTTTGTTTTAGGTTTGTGTAAGTGATTTAGGGTACTATCACCTGCATTCATAGTACTTGATATAGCTTCATTCTTACCTTTCTCTTAAGGTTATAATAGACATGTTTGTCCCTTCTCAATTTAGTGTTAAGCAATAAATTTTGATATTTACTGATTATTAAATAAATGATGTGCATGAATTAGAAAAGTGATATTTGTAAGAGAGCTTTGTTTCTGTTGGCTGTACAATTTATAGAATTTATAACATGATAATTTAATAGAAATAAAATAGTGCCACAGATTAAAGCACCTGCAAGCAGGTTCAAGGGCCATTTGTTCAATCCCCTGGCCTGCCATTCCATCCTTGCCCCCTGGGTGTGTTGTGGGGGCAATCAAGATTGGGGATGGTGGCATGAGCCTGTAATTCCAGTTCTCTTTTTTTTTAAGAAAAATATATTTTTTAATCTTATAGCAACCTGAAACTACTCTGAACTCCTCTTGAAAATGGAAACATGACTACACACACCAGAAAACAGCACCATTTGAGGCAAATCATGCATCTCTTGAGACCTTCTTTGCTTAATCTCTTTCATATA